TTTTATTGTAGGTCGAAGGAAGAATGAAGATACAATCTAAAGAAGAGTAAGGTTGGTTTAGATTTATGGTGGTGATGAAGAAGGTTCGGTCCGCTTTTGCAATGAAGTATGGTGGAAATTTAAGTAGAATCCCTCCTAGAATGAAGGATTGTTGTTTTTCATATAGAGGTCGTGGAGGGTAAAAGCGGAAATCAAAGGCCATTTGCGATTTGTTTTTGCGTCGTGAATACAATTGAAGATTTTTCTGGCGAGATTCGCGTAACCATTTTTGAGTTGTGCCTTGCGTATTAGAACTTTCTGCAGGTTTTCGTGACGTGGATTTGTATATTGTGTTTTGTCGTGTTGTGTGCTTTTTCTTGGCGAGGCTGATGGTTTGTGGTATGGGTGAATGCCGCGTGAGGAATTGTCGATTGTAGCCTATTTGATAGAATTAGCGGTTCCATTGTTTTGTCTTAAGTTGTGTGGGCTTAGTTTGGCCCATCAAGACCTCTTCCTTTTGTATTATTATGGATGTCGTTTTGTGTAAAAATGACATGGCCCACTTATTTTCTTATTATTCTTTTTGTAAAAAGGTGTATCATTTTTTTTTAAACTTCTTCTAATTGGCTTAATGAATCTATTGTGAATTTAAGTTCGGTTTGTAATATATTTGTAGGAGTCTTTTGTGGTATTGTGATCCTAGCTCTTACTTGCACCTCCATTACATACTTGGAACCAATGCCTTGTAATTTTGTAACTTGCTTGGGCCAATTCTTGAATCCCAAAATCTTGAAATTCCGATTGAATTAAAAACTTATAAATCAAATTTTATCTTTTGAATTCTCACCTAAAATGAATGAAACCTGAAAACATCTCGAGAAATGTCATTGGCCGTGAATCAATCTTGAAACCACCAGTGAGTCAATCTCTGGACTCCGCCACTTGAATCGTTGAGAATTTGGCATAGCCTGACAACTTGATTCTCAAACAGATAACCTAATTATGAAGAAAATTCTTGTTTGACCAAGATTAGGTCAAAACTAAATGATCCTCAACCATCATTGCCCCAACACCTGATTGGATACTCTTATGTGAAGTACAGACTTAGGCAACACGAAAGCACACACTTTTTTTTAAATTTTGAATCATTATCGATGGATGAAAGTACAAATGAAGGTAATACAGGTAAGAAAAATTTGGAATATGACACTATGAAATTTCAAACATACAACTTTTTAATTCAGCAACAAGTTTCCACCAAGCTATTAACTTTCTTTGTTTTATATTTATAATGCATATCTATATAACATTAATACTACAACTAACATTCCTGCAGCTATATACTAATATTAATATTATTTCATAGTATAAATAAAAATAAAAAATAATATTAAATAACTACTAAATAGTATAAAATAAAAATTAGTTAATTGAACACATAAATATTAGTATGAAATAAAAATAAAATTATTTCTGAAACACTTAGTGGAAGATAAAGTAATTTATAGTTGAAATAAATTAAATAATAGTATTAAATATTAACTAATTTATTAAATACCGAATCACTTATGAAATAAGTATTCATGTTACAATGTTATTATCAAGTGGAATGATTGGCTCAGTGAAAACATAGTTATTTGTAATTGGAATTCTTCGGGGTTCATTCCTTGTTGGAATCTATTTTAATAATTTAAGACTAAATATAATAATTTAGTGAATGAAACAAGACCATTACTAGCTAAATGGAGAAAGAAAATGATTTTTCTTGTTGTGACATGAATTTGTAATGGTTAAGAAGTGGTTATCTATTTTAATATTAGATTCAAAAATTGATATAGATGTGTATGATATTGCCATGTTGTCTTTTCTAGTGCATTTAACAAAACCTATTTTTACTTTTGTAATTGTTTGCATCTTTGTTATCCGTCAGATCTAACACTTCTTGAAACATGTTACCATTGAAAAATTACCTATCAGGGCTTTATAAAAAAGAGTAGATGCAACACACAATTAGGATAACAATATCAATCAGACATACTTTGCACTATTTCAAAGTCCCCAATTTGCCAACTCTCACCAAACCTGAAAACTAAATCTGGAAGGGGCTGCGCGAACGCAAACCCCCACGGCAACAAATTATGATGTAGGCTCCACCACTTGGGGTAGACCTTAGGCTAGCACCCCTCCTAAGTGCAATGGAGGTCACTTGCCTAGGCCATGGGCCTTATTGATCACCCATTGACCCCATCCAGGTAAGTATGTTGCAAAGTATCATACACTTCTATTTTATAATTGATGTTCCATACTATTCACTCTAACAATTCTGATGTGGGACTAACATAACATAACACTAATTCACTCTAGAGAGGTAAAGGGAAAAGAAATGTCAGCATTCTTTTGTGAATGATAATAATCATACAAATCTAAACTAAGATCTATTAGTTCCCCAAATTTAGTGTTGGAATTCTATGTACAGTATATTCACAATCCAAATAGATGAACTATGTATAACCATATTGCAGATGTATGCAATCTTTTGTTCCATGATCTCCTCACTTTTCCTCTATCATGTTTTTTAAAACAGTTATTTAACAGAGGTCAAATCTTACCTTTCATATCAATCTTTATTTTGTTTCCAGAGCTGAGACCAAATCTTAACTTTCATATCAACTTTGCTTTGTTTCAAGTTAACTCTTTTAATTTGAAAAAAGTACTGAGGTTTGTGAGTTGAAGATTGTCTGGATGAGAACTTTAGTACTGGTTTGGTGACTGGGCAATTTTACTATTGTGATGTCATGTTGCAATATAATCCAAGTAAAAGTACTGAGGTTTGTGAGTTGAAGATTGTCATTGTGGCTGGATGAGAACTTCAGTACTGGTTTGGTGACTGGGCAATTTTACTATTGTGATGTCATCTTGCAATATAACCCAAGTACAAGATTATATCTTATGCAAAATATAATCAAAGCAAATTGTAGATATTAGAGAAACAATGAAGGTTGACGCAAATTGTAGATATTCAAGAATTAATAATGGTTGATCTTCTCAGATGAAGTGAGTATAAAAACATTGAACTAAAGTTGTAGGACCTTACCCCAAAGGGAGTCCTTCTAAAAATTCTCAAAGGCTTGAGTTGAACCCAAGCCTAAGAGGGGGTTTGGAAATAGTTTTCAACCAGCAATAGACGCGCCTCGGTTAGAACCTCACTAGCTGCGTCATTGCCCCAAGCGCAAAGATAATTTTAGCAGAGAACTAACTTTCTTTTATATATAACTTCAAAGTCATCTAATTTCTCTCATTAGCAGTGTGGGACTAGGAAACTTTACCCTGTAGTCCTCACTCGTCATTCTTTTCCATAAACAAATCTAACAACTAAGACAACCACAAAGAATAAAGTTGAGAAAAAGAGATCTAACTGGTTCAAAAACTAACACAAGAGAATAACATTACAGTAGTAAAATAGCCCAGTCACCAAACCAGTACCAAAGTTGTTGAAATTTACTTCCTTCTAGTCCAGCCACAAAATGACAAGCGGGTTCATATGGGGTATTGGATGGTGTGAGTTTGGTTATGTTTGCAATTTGTCATTCAATACAGTATTTAGAGGAGGAGGAAAAAGAAAAGTGTTAATAAGACTACAAAATGTAGACATCTAAATCTGTCATGAAATTTAGGAGGATACTACAGCAATTTTGAACCCCTATAAATTTTAGTCATACAAAATATTGTAGTTTGTAAAAATATTTCTATTTTACTTTTTCTACAAAAGCTAAATACATATCCTTATAAAGCTGAATACTAAATTTAATAACTATTTTACTTTTTCTACAAAAGCTAAATACATATCCTTATAAAGCTGCATACTAAATTTAATAACTAAAGTATCCCAATCTAGACAATTGAATTTCAACACAAACATAGCACATGAATTATGAACTCACCTTGCAACTGAGATATACTGAGCCAAACAATCTATTCCATCTTTCATTTTAAGTCTTTAAAGACCTTGCCATTTCCTTGATTAAAATCTTTAGTGGCTATAGCATATAAAAAAATCTGTTGTCGACACAGATGCTTTATCTTAGATTTCTGACGCAAGTCAACAAGTTATGCGTGCACTATAAATAGTTATAGACATAACATACTTTATTCGAAAATATTAAATACTACCAAATACCAATGAAAGATGAAACAAACAGTACTCTCAATCTATCACACATCTGGAACGTAAATTCAGACTCTCTCAATCTATCACACATCTGGAACGTAAATTCAAACTCTCAATCTATCACACATCTGGAACGTAAATTCAGACTCTCTATCTATCACACATCTGGAACGTAAATTCAGACTCTCTATCTATCACGCATAATGTGATCTATGCGGATGCTGATGCGGCGGCATTCAATTCCCACTGGATCGTAATTTCCCAAAGTAGATTACTCATAAACAAATTACAAATGTTATTGTAGATGAATACAGAGATGCTGTTCCTTTCAATTTTTGCCTGTGTTTTTCCATTCTTCTACCTTTTAAATCTTCAGAAAAGAAGTAGTCAAGTTGTTTGGGCCGCCAAAATTAGTGTTAAATAGTCAAATTACACCGGTAAACTACATAATTGAACAAAAATTGCAGGGCCCTCAATGAAGAATACTACACCAAAGCCCCCAAAATCATTTCAATTGGTGTTAAATTGTCAAATTTACACCGATAAGCTACAGACTTGAACTAAAATTGCAGAGACCTCAATGAAGAGGACTCTTCCAAAAACTAGCGTATGCCGCTAAATGTAACGCTGACACGGTATTCTTTAGTAAAAGGCGAAAGAATAGTTCGCTATGTCATCATCACACGGCTCCATATCAAACAAAAATTGAGGTCCTTTCATTTTATATGTAAGCAGTATAGTTTCTTTTATGAAGTAGAAGATGTGGGATTTGAGTCTGATACCCACTTACTTGGCCCCTATCCCAATCTAGCACAATTGAATTTCAATGCAAATAGAGCACATGAATAATAACTCACCTTTCAACAGAGGAGCTGTATGAGGCAATGATCTGTTCCATCTTTTGTTTTAAGTCTTTACAAACCTCACCATTTTCATGATCAAAATCTACCATGGCTATAGCATACAAAACAACCCTGTAGAAGAGTTATGCATGCACTGTAAGTAAACAGTTACAAACTGAGCTACTATAGCACCAGTCCATCTATGCCTAGAGTAGAGAATAATAAATAAACTCAAAATCACTACTGCAATCACACTTTGAGAAAGTGAAAGAGGGATGAATGAAGTTTTACCTTGTGACGCCTCTATACTGTGAAGTTCTCTCTCCAAAAGTGTCAATGGATTTTCTATGAACAGGTTGCTTCTGTCCAAGCTTAGCAGCACCTCTTTTTTTAGCTTCCATGGTGACTGATTCAGTTCCAGAAGGTGAGATCTGTGTAGGAGCAGTAACACGGCTAGATTGAGAACCAGGACTCATTGATAGGCTTAGAAATTGTAACTCACCACACCCAACAGAACCACCACCACTATTGTTATTTCCCATGTTTGTGTTCATTTGTTGCTCAAGAGTCTGAGAAGCATGAGAAGCAAAAGAATAATCTCTTAGAGAGAACCAGTTTTGAGGCATTTGGGAGCTACAAACATCAACATTTGTTGATGTTTCCTTTGATTCAATCTCTAATGGTGTTTGAAACATACCATGGAAACCAAGTGCTGCATAATATGGATGTGATGTCATGTGGCTTTGTTGTTGTTGATGAGGATCTGCATTTTGTTGGTTATTGTAGTAAATGCTGTCTAAGCTTAAAGCCATTGCTGCATCTCTTTCATGGCTACCATATTCATCATGAGTCCCCATTGTTGCACCACCTTGAAAGTCCTCTAGTTTAGGAGATGAAGATGACACCATCACAATACAACACAGTAGCAGTGGGAACCATCACAATACAACAAAATAAAAACATAATCATTAACGGACCATAAACAAACAACATTAAGAAAAACAACTTTTTAATAAAAAGAGCATATGAAAAATTGAACCTTGTGATTGTGATCTACCAAGAGCCTCCATGATACAAAGAGAGTCGTCCGATTTAAGAGGCATAACAGACAAAGATGAATGAAAGTTAGGATTTTCAGGAACGCCATAACAGATAGGTGTGTCGGTGAAATGAGAAGGGGATAAATAGAAAGCAGTGGGAACAGTGTTGGAAACTGAGGAAGTTTGGGTTTGTTGGTAATGATGATGATGATGGGGTGAGAGAGGTGTCATTCAAAACCCTGGGATCATTGGATCTTGGGTTCCACCATGTGTACTAACTATAATTTTTTTGTCACATTCTTCACCCCACACCTCTCTTCCGGTCTTATCAAAAATATTTTGTTCGAAATTAGAGATTCAGAATATTTTGATTTTTAGAATCCAAACTTATTGTGAATTTAGTAAACAAACATTCAACATAAACACTCTGTTAAATAAAATTCAACAACAACATAAAAAACTAATTAAAAACATCAATTGAACACACAAAATCATTGATGACACTAATCAGTTTTGTAATCAGGTGCAACCATGCATGTTGCGGTTTCATCAAATATCCTAGAACGAATCAAGTTTGAACAGATAGTGTTTTACTCTAGAACTAGACGACGATCAGAGATGTTGAATTGAATTCACAATGAGTTGTAGTGGTTTGAGGCTTCTGATGTAGGGAGAAGATGTTGACATGCTCTGGTAGATAATGAAGAGTGCTATAGTCATTCAAAATCACCAATGAAAAACTATAGTACTCTTTGTTGCACAGCAAGGCGATCAATTTAACTTTATCAAACCCCCACCAAATTGTTCAAGCATATCAAACTGAGCTCCTGCCAAACATCATAGTATTAAAATAAACAGCTTCTCTAGAAAGGAGACAACTAATAGAATTTAAAAGGTGATTGTTAATGCGGCAGATGGCAGAAGATTGAATCATGGATCTAGTGGAAATTTTGGTCGATCTCATCAAGAGAAAATTCTAAGATGTGTTCATACATGATGGATGTTTGCTACAAAAATCACGGCTTTCCCACCAGCTTTCAATTCAGAACTTCTACCGGAAGTAATTGTGTTAAAGTAGACAAATTCAGAAGCAAATGCACCTGGGGATGCTGAGCAGAAACAAATTGAAAATCTTACTCTAGATGGATGCTGAGGATTAATAGCAATGCTTAAGTCCAACACATTGAAAGGAGGAGCAGATGTTGCCTCGCGCGGTGTGAGTCAAGCTTGTACAGTGACCTCCACACAAGGTATCAATCTATGTCGTATTGTTCTGCAATCGGAAAATTAGATTTATGAATTTCATATAATGGTGCTACTGACCACATATGCTCTACTTTAGACATGTTTTCTACATATAATAGGATGAATTCAATACCGGTTAAATTACCCGATGGTAATAAGGCCATGGCAGAATTTTCTAATGAAGTGCATCTCGTTGACTCTATTTTGCCACTCATCTTTAATACAAGATGTGTCATGCGAGACGGTTGGTTTTGGTAAAATAGACTCTGGACTCTACTTGTTTGAGATAGCATAATCCTTGAAGCAACGTGTTATAAGGAATTTCTCTTGCAATTTTATTATTCTCCATAATCATCCCATTTTCATCATCATCCATAGGTTATGTCTTATTCGGAAAGAATTTTTAGTGGGGTACATTTGAACAAATCTGATCTAGTGCTAAATACTTTTGGATATGTTAAAGTTCTTAAGAGTACATTCACCAGATCCATTTGGGCCTATTGCTAGGTAGAGGAGCTGTATATTTGAAACTTAATGCAACATCAGTCATCCCTTTTGCAAATGGGTTCATCGCAATGATCCAATCAGTGACTAAATATACACCATTTGCAGATGTGTTCTCATTAGAGTGTGAATGCTATTTCATAATACTACAAAGCTGATAATTTTATAGAAAAAAATAAAACAGAATTAAACCAAAAAAGTATTTAATACTAGTAAGAAATACCAAAAAGCAAACTTCCTAACATAAAGTTGAACTAATATTGCAGAGCCCTCAGTGAAGAGAACTCTTCCAAAAACTAGCGTATGCCGCTAAATGTGACGCTGACACGGTATTCTTTAGTAAAAGGCGAAAGAATAGTTCGCTATGTCATCATCACACGGCTCCGTGACTGATTTAAGTAGAGGTCCTTTCATTTTATATCTAAGCTGCTTAATTTCTTTTAAGCATTAAAAGATGTGGGACTTTAGTCAGATACTTACTTGACCTCTACCTCTTCTATTCTCTACAATGAATAAACATCTAAAGCCTATCACTTGAAAGTCTTTGGAACAAAGACAGCGCTGATAGAATCGTGAAGGACGGGTCTGGGATAAGCCAATGACTATATAAATCCAAGCTAAACTAACACCTTTATATGATCCAATATCTTACAATATTTGTCCAAACATTGACATGAAAATAACAGGACGATTAGTTTGATCTTGACCCAAAACATATATTGTTCTGATGACAACAACCAGCACAATGAAATGGCTTCACTAAATCTATTCCATTTCCATCTTTTGTGTAAGCATATAGCGTATACTACTGCCAGACATCAGATTTCACTTAGAGTATAAAAAAGTGACAGCTTTTGTGGGAAGGAGACAACTCAATAAAGAGAATTTTGTATTCATTTATTGGAATTGAAAGCGCAGATATCATCAGTGTATCATTGTAAACAGCATACACTAAAAGTTTAGAACATGAGGTGACACATATTATCAGTTAATTTAACTTTATGTAAACAGTATATCCATCCAAGGCAGAAGTGAGTTTTAAGGTGAAAAGTTTAGTTTAAAAAGCATGCAACTTTGAATGAAAATCTCAATATGACAAGTTAAAATTGGTTAAATAAATGAAATTGCTACTGCTAACTGGCACTGAATAAAAACCATATTTACAATGTCACCGACAAAATCTTTCCCACCATGAAAAGCTCAAAGTGGGTCCTAGCTTGTTGAAATCAAAACTACATCTTTCTGCAACAAACCAGAGAATATCAAGTACAAATTTTTATGACAATAAAAAAACAAAAAAAGGAAAGGGGTGGCAGTGTGTTGCTTACCTAGCTTGCTTCCCTCTCGCAAAGATAACTTGCTTCCTTCTTCAAACCTTAACAAAACCCATAACATCATCAAGTACAGATTTTTATGACAAACCCAGCAAAACAAGTTAGAAGGAAAAAAGTAGATTCTATGAGAAAGTAAATATTGCTTACTTCCCAAAGATCAGAGCATGAATTGGAAGATTATGGTTGTTTCTAAAACTTTGCATGTGAAAAGGAAGAGTCCGGGTCCATTCGATAACTTGATCGGTTTCCTTGTTCAGAAGCAAAGCAAACAGATTCATGCTTCATGTCAAAAACATAAATGCACTACAAATTTCCATTACAAAAACCAAACCTTGAAGTGCTTTTACCTTCTTTCTTTTTCTTCTTCTTCAGCTTTTTGGTTTTGTGGAGAGCTTTTTTCAGTTCGTGGAGATGCCTGTTAATGTACAAGGGTAGTATCTGATTTGACATTGTTATGACACGTCTTTCGGCCATAAGATTGTGTTTGGTTTGAAATAGAAGTTGTGAAGACAGAAAATATATGAGAGTGTGAAAGGGAGAACAAGTTAGTAGAAATGAACTAGAAGAGACTAATATAATTGTTTTTTAAATGATAGTTTTTTTTTCAAACAAAATAAAAATTTTTAAAATTATATTATTTGAAATATATTTGATTTATCGACATTATTTAAAAATTTATGTTAATTAATATTAATTTAATAAACATTTTAATTTTTTATTATTTATATTAATTTACTATGCATATTTTATTTTCTATTAATTAGTATAATTTAGACATAATTAGTCACTGGGTCCCTTAACTTTGAGCGAAGTTTCGCTTTGATCAATAAACTAAAACGTGTTGCGTAATGATCCTTTAATTTAAGTTTCGTTAAAAACCTTGGTCTCTGCTGTTAGTTTGTGTCAAAAAACGTTAGTTTATGTGAGGTGGCATGCCAAGTAAGCCAATTTAGGATTCTACATCAGCATATGTGTATGTTGTCTTACATAGAGTTCCATATTTCACTCTTGTTGCTTCATTCTTTTTCCACCATTCTTCTTCATTCGGGTTCCATATTTCTACCTATTCCATCTCCATCTTCAATTCAGGGTTAAATCTCTTTCTTCCAATTTTCTTCTATTATCTTTCATTTTCTTCTGCAATTTGGAAATTAGGGTTCAAGCAGCGTTAAAGAGTGCAAGCAATGCCTCAACTTCAAACAACCATAGCTATGACACATCTGGATCTTTGATTCATAGAAAAAAGAGGATCGAGTGCTTTTGCCAAGACGAAAGTGTTCTTAGAACAATGAATGATGTGAACAGATTCAACAAGGGGAGAAAATTTTGAGGTTGTAAAAATTACAGAAACCACATTAAAAAGGGTTTGTAATTTCTTCAAGTGGTTGGGTGATGAGTTTCTTGATGAAAGGGATTCGAAGCTTGAAAGACAATAGAAGAAAATTAACAGATTGAAGAATGAAGTTATGTACACTCGAGGGTGGCTTAAAATGTCAATTATTGTTGGGATTGTGAGCTTAGGGTTGAACCTTGTGTTTGTAACAATGTATCTCGATTAGTTTTAGGGTGGTTTTAAGTTAAGTTTTTATGTTTGTAATAATGTACTGTTATGTTTTAACAAATTGATGAGTTTGTTTAATGAATAATGTACTATTATGTTGTTTCATTGAATAATGTATGTGTTCTGTTTTCACATTTTCATTGAATAAAGTCTCAATATCCAACCTGTAAAATATGCATAACTGTCGCACCTCGAAAAATCCCATTCGAAAATACGACCCTCGCGCGAAAGGCGCGGAAATGCGGTTCGACAGAGTCGCCACCGAATTTTATTTTTCCCGAATAAACGGGAGAGGAAAATATCGAGAAAACCTCCTAAAACGAAAGGATAAGAACAGGGCTGTCGCAACCAAGTTCCGGGTTCGGGAGTCGGTTACGTGAGGGGAAGGTATTAGCACCCCTCACGTCCGTCGTACTCGACGGGAACCTCTTAAGGTAATTGTGGGGAGTGTTGTTTAGGTTTACTGGTTTTCTTCTCGTTATTAAAGGTAGAATTGGTAGGGTAAAGGGTTAAAGACGCAAAGGAGAGATGGGTGGTTAGAAGATAGGGTGCTCGTCAAGGATTGGGGCCCTTGTGCCTACGTATGCTCATTCGGACGAGAATGAGAAATCAGAGCGTCGTAGTTCGACTACGGGAAAGGATAGGGGAAATGGAAGATGGAGGGGGTTGTGCTCGCCAAGATCATCGCAATCTTGTGCCTACGTATCTTATATTCAAGAATGAATAAAGAATCAGAGCGTCCGTAGTTCGTGGTAACGACCACGAAAAGGTGAGGTTGAATAAGTTGGAAATTGAGAAAGAGACGAAAGAGTGACTGACAAGCAACCCAAGAGCGTGTCTCAAGAGCTTGTCACTCAAGAATTCAAGGAATGCGAGATTCCAGGAACTCAATCCTTTCGGGAATTAACTGAATAGGTTAAAGATAAAGAGTTGAATGTTTTGAAATTGAAAGAACGAACTAATAACAACTCAAGGGCACGCCTCGAGAGTTACTCATTCGAATATTCAAAGAATGCTTGATTCTGAGAATATCCCTCTTTCGTAAGTTTTAAAAAAATGTTTGTGAAAGGATCGGATCGAAGAATGGCCTGCGAGGCCAAAAGGAAGTTGTTTTGAAGTAGCTCGACGACGTGTCGAGGATTTGATCGAAGATTGAACCGACTTGACGACGTGTCAAGGGTTAGGATTGTGAGAAACGGTATTAGTCCCTGAGGGTGCTCCTAATATCGAGACCACGAGGAATTGTGAATGTGTGTGCGAAGTGTCAAAGGTTGCGAATGCGTGCGAGCACTCGTCTTAGGAGGATGTTTGAAAAAGGTCGAAAGGTTGAGCGAATAACAACTCAAAGGCGTGCCTCGAGAATTATTCACTCAAAGACACAAGGAATGCTAGATTCCAAGAACCTCCTTCTTCTGAAGTTTGATCGAGAAAAATATTTTAAAAATGATTTGAAGCGAAATGGGGTATGAAAATAATTTGTGAACGTGTGAGAAGTGAGAACGCGAGATTGGATTTGAAAATATCAATTATTTAATAGATGAGATGTCGGCCCCACAACTAAATAATCGGGGTATTATCGAGATGCTAGATCTTGACGATACATTTTTTCATACATAAAATATTTGAATGAGCAACGGGAATATCACGCAGAATGCTAGATTCCTACGATATTTCTTTGTTCTAAATAGCGTACTGAAATAAAAAGTCGAACGACATATTATTTGAGGTGTACACCTCCATAATGTTCGTCCAGAAATTCAAGAAGTGCTAGACTTCAAGAATTTAATTTTTTATGACTTGATTGAGAAATAATTTAGTGTTGGAAGATATATTGAAACAGGATTTAAAGAAAATCAAACACATTTTAGAAATGAGCTGAAAAATAAATTGTAAGTTAAAGTAAATTGATTTAAATTTAGCAAAAAATAAATTAATCAAAACTTAAAAGTAAATTTGAAAAAAAACTAAAGTGTAATTTATTGAATTGACTAAAACATGCTACTTACTCAAGCACATACCAATACAAAAGTTGAATTGCCTAATAAATTAATTATCTAAAAAATGAACAATACATTATTTAAGGTGTACACCTTAATAATGTTCATTCGAAAACTCGAGAAGTGCTAGACTCCAAAAGTTTAATTTTCGTGATTTTGATTAGAAATTAATTTAGTGTTGAAAGAAAATAAATATTGAAATAGGATTATAAACAAAATCATGTCTTGAAAGTGATTTTTTAAAAATTGTTTATGTTAAAATAAATTAATTTATGGTTAGACAACTTAATCATATTGAGAATATAACTCTAAAATAATATGAGAATTTATTTGGAAAATACTTTGAAAGAAAAGAAAATTTATATATCAAAACGTTTAATATGTAAAAAGGTTTCAACTTAAAAAGGAGTTACTGAAAATATTTGAGATAGCATCCCTAATATAATTTTAAGCACTAAATACAAGAAACCAATTAAAAATCTAAACCAATTAAATCAAACAAAAGAAAATGCCATGATTTCCGTCCGTAAAGCAACACGATAGCCAGCAGGGTCCTCAACTTCAAACTTGTGGTAGCAACAATTTGGCACATAAAGTTATCCAAGTAGTATAATAGTCTTCAAGTCACCCATCCTGAAAGCAGTTAAAACATACCCCTCTCGCAATCAAACCACACAAACCGTCAGTGATTTATAGTAACCAATATATAAAACCTGAACACGCTTTCAGTTCCGCACACATAATTAATTTGATCAAACTGATAACAACCAGCCATAAAATCTTACACCGTAATCGACATCGAAACAAAAAAACTTAATTTATACCCAATCCTCACATGGTAGCAGTAGCAGGATATATACAAAATTTTGAAACCAAAAACTGCATCAGTCTAACAACAGCACAATTTATTCAAATTCAAAAAACGGTAGCTGCAGGTTCAAATCACAAAGTTGAGCATTCTTACTACACAATTGTTTTTTCTAACAAGAATGTCTACTACCAGACAATGCTTCATGTATGTTCACAAGGTAATTTAAACAAGACAGCGTACTGGGTCATTACCATATTGAGACAAGTAAAAACATGATGCTAGCGACTTATCTTGCGGTGCGCTGCTAAGTCAGTACCAAATGCAAACTATTACCGGATTGAACACTCGCAGCAGGCCTATGTTCCAGCAACAACTTATGGAGAGATTTCCCTAGTTGTCGAATATGAAAATGAGGCACGCGTGGCATAAACGACTCGCCGATATGAGGAGAAATTGTCCTAAGAGCAGCAGATCAAACTTTGTCGCCTTAACACATTCCTGCTAGCAACGCGAAGGAGAAATCTGAAATCAATCTTCCAAACCCGAACATCAGTGACTCCGAACTTTCCTCTTCTCCAAAATCTGCACATGAAAAAAAACAGGCAGCAGGGTTGCGTTTCACAAAACCCACACTTTCACATAATTTATTACTCTAGATTACCATCAAAGTGTAAGCAACAATGTGAACATACACTACCCTAACAATAATAACGCCATAAAAACTTGTTCGAGACCAAATCACAATACGTCAATGGAATAGCAAAACCAGACACAATCGCGCGTCAGTTTACAGATTGCTTATTGCATCCTGATGTAATATCGCTGCTATTTCTGAACACGGCTGTTACATCACTGCAAGCCGAGGATGTCGCATCCTAGCTGGGAGCAGATGCGAGGTTGAGCTCAGCTATAAACCGCGAATCATAATTTGATGATGCCATTGTTGTTGTCGCTGTTTGATTCTTTGAGCAGTATCAGCTTACTATGATGAACTATGAAATTTATTCGAACAATAAGCTACTTCTTGTATCGCCTTCCTCGAGCGTGCCACTACTTGATCTGCTTAAACGGGTCTTTAAGTTTGAGATCCTTCCTGCATAAAGAACTTCAACAATACATCCAAAACTAAAAAAAAAACGAGTTATTGTTGTTTACAGGGTACGACGATGCCGATGCTCTTTGGTGATGGGAAGTGTTGTTGTACGTGTTGAGCCGAAGGGGGGTGATCCTTAAATATTTCAAAAACCGAGTTCATCGCTGCAGATCGAACCAGGCTGCCAAGCTTGAAATCCTGTCAACTCAAAACTGAAAGCTATACCAGTTTAATCAAAATCAGATAGAATATGGATGATGTCGCATCCACGGATGTGTTCCGGTTATCACAATCTACAACAGCCATGATAATATTGATTTCCAGCAGCACTTATAAGGTATAATAGTGTACCAAAAAAAAACAAGCAAAATGAAACACAAGTAGCTCTGTATAAATCAAAAGCAAACATAAACTATTATCGAGCTCATTCCACATAGCATTAGAACGAGAAACTACATGCTCAACTTGCATCGAAACATTAGCGACAAATGCAGGACATTTAAAGTTATGTTAAACGGTGGCAACATAAGTATTGAACATCAATCATGTTTACAAGATATACACTGGAAGTTAATACACTATTGAAATAAACCTGCAACCAAATCGACACAGTATAACATTTATGGTGCCAAAACACTGAAATATGCAGCAACATACTGAATCCTACTTTCAATTTCACGCTCATATCAATATAACGGAAAAAAAATAAGGCAAAACAACGATTACCGATGACGGCGAAGATTCAAGTGGGTCTCGTATTGAAAACAGAACCCCTGTGACGACAACTGCGAACTTCGACCGAAGAAACAACACATGCTAAGCTTCAAACATTGTTGTGTTGCTTCTACATCCGCAAGCACCAGCTCGCAACCGTCCAGTTTCCTTCACAACGAACTTTCAGGCAGTGTCAGAATCATTCGAATACACGCTTATTGCAGCTTCGGCGGAGATGAGGTTTGTGGTGAGCGGTGGAATATCGGTGGATTTGGAGAGTTATTTTGCGCCAAGAAGAGAGGTCTATGTGGGTTTTCGTGAAGCTTTGAGGTTATTAATAGGGATGAAGGGTATTTTCGAGTGGAGGGAGAACGGCGGGTTGAGTGGTTTTGGAGGAAAAATAAGATTCACGGTGGGAGGAATGAGGAGAAGAAATGGGTTGGCGGCTGAGTGAATTGAGAAAGAAGAATTTAGGGTTTCCTCTCTTGATTTGGGGCGGCGGCGGCGGATAGGTTTCTCTTCTAAATTCCCCTCCGGAAAATGAACAGTGTAGCCACCTTTTTATACCGATTCCCTCAACCCTAAATGCCAATTCAGCCGTGTTTTCATTCTCTCCTTCTAAATATTATTTTTTAATTTCTTTTTTATTATTTTTTAATTTATCAACATTAAGATTAAAAATAAAAAACTAACAACTCTAATAAATAAATAAATAAACAAAAAACAAATGAATAAATATTAATAATAAACATCAAATAAATATTAAAAGAAATATATATATATAAAAAAAAGAATTAAAGAAATAATTACTAAAGACATTAGTAATATCTTAAAATAGAAAAACTTAAGAAGATAATATTTACAAAGAAAAGTTGTTAGGCCACGTGTCACGTCTTAGTTGGTCAGAAAGAAAATTTCTAAAAATCGACCAATTGCAAGCGGACATGTGTCTAAACGGCACGAAACAATAAAATGCGAAAATATTTACAAAAAGGGTAGGACAAATTTAGGGTATGACAATAACCAATGACCAATGGTGGAAATAAACTGTAATATAACTTGTTCAAACATGTTTGATACATAACATGTTCATTGAATAATGTCTCAATAACATGTTTGTGGAAACAATATTTGATACATAACAGGTTCGTTGGATAATGTTCAAACTGTAAAATATGCAGCCCAATGACCAATATTTGTGGAAACAAACTGTAACATGCTTGTTTCATAACAGGTTCAATAAAATGTTTGATACATAACAAGTGCAATAACATGTTTGATACATAACAGGTTCAAAACATGTTTCAAAGTTTGATACATAACAGGTTCAATAACCACTCCAACATTCATTAACAAATTCAATATTTTATACACAACAGGTTCAATAAACACAAGGTCATTATAAGGCAATACATTGTTTAATAAAACAAGGTCATTCAAATAACAAAAGGTCATTGTAAGGCATTACATAACAGGTTCAAAACCAAAAGGCCATTGTAAGGCAATACATAACAGGTTCAAATACCAAAAGGTCATTGTAAGGCATTAGATAACAGGTTCAAAACCAAAAGGTCATTATAAGGCAATACATAACATGCATTATAAGGTCATTAATAAAAACAAAAGAGTCTGGCCATTAATTGGCATTACAAAATCCTAGTAAACATAATAATATTGATCATGGTAGGCTTGAAACAAGCTTGTCACCCTTATGAAATTTTTTCTTAGTTTTTGATGGTGGCTGACTTGTAACAACAGGCGGTGATGGTTGACTTGTAACAGATTATGGTGGTGGTTGACTTGTTGCAACAGGTGGCGGTGGTTGACTTGTAACAACTTGTGACGGTGGTTGACTTGTTGCAATAGTTGGTGGTGGTTGACTTGTAACAGCTTGTGACGGTGGTTGACTTGTTGCAACAGATGGTGATTGGCTTGTATTAGCTTGTGATGGTTGTTGACTTATTGCATCTTGTACCTGACTTGAACTAGCTTGTGGTTGTTGTAGTTTACAAGTGGCCTTGTTGTGACCATCCTTGTGGCAACGACTACACTTTATACCATATCTTGACCTCTTCATGTGTGTCTCATCCCTCACCGTCTCTCCAGCTTCCCTATTCCTTTTTTTTCCTTTGGCCTTCCAGGCTACCTCTTTATTGGTGGTGGCTGAAGATCAACAACACTAGTCTTTGCCCACAAGGCTTCCTTATTAAGTGGATATACACATGTGCATAGCAAGCAGCATATTGTTCCTTCTTGTAATAGTCAGGTACAAAGTCACCAATCTCTAAATGTTGATCTTTCATGCAAGACATTGCATGACAGTAAGGAAGTTCAGTCAGCATCCATAGTCTACATGAGCATTATTTCTTGTAAAGGTTGACAATATGTTTTTCTCCATTGAGTAAAGTATGCCTCACCTCATAGTCATATTCACTTGCATGCCTGTAAACAAGTAACCATTAACAATGATAGTCAATGTAAATAGTTAGCCATTTGAAAGTAATGTTATCTCACAATCCAATGATTGGTTTTTTGTGACTCCATCTCCATCCTCTTCTTAATCTTAGGTAGTATGATGTCATCACATTTGGTGATCTTTTGCCTATTGGATTCCATCTCTGCATTATGTATACTCTAATTTCTTCCAGCATTGTCACAATGGGCTTGGATCTAGCAGCCACAAATACAGAATTGAAGGCCTCTGACATATTGTTAACCAGAGTATCACAGTATGAACTTGGCTACAACCTTGATTTGCTCCAGAATCTTTGTAGAATTTTAATGAGGTGTTTGAAGGCCTTTTCATTAACTCCTTTGATTTCAAGCATTATTTTTTCCCAAGCATTGACATAACTTGCACATGCAGCCCTCCACATCAACTCCTTTAATTTCAGGTCAGGGAACTTTTTCCTGAAGTTACTATAAAAATGTTTGCAATATAAAGTAAGTGTAAACATTACCAAGTATGTCATATTCAATATGTAAGTTACTAAACCAAGTATGTCATATTCAATATGTAAGTTACTAAGGTGAGAGTAAACATTACCTAACACAAAATCTCTAGTCAACATTGCCAAGTAATTCATCAAGAGCTAGCAGCAAACCCTACATCCATAAATAAGTAAGAATGATGGTGAAAATAAAACAATTGGATAACAGTTACATTTATAGGTGAGAGTTTAAAACCTAACCTTTTTTTATCACTAATTAAGGTATATGTTCTGCATAACTTAACTCCTCCCAAATCGGGTATCAATAACTCTAGAAACCAGCTTCATGAGTCTTTAGTTTCACCCTCAACAACAACATATACAATTGGAAGCATTTGGTCATTTGGGTCCCTACCAATAGCAGCTAGTATTTGTCCTCCATAGTATCGCTATCTGAACTTCTTCTTCAAACAAGTGTTGTCATAAACGTTGTCTTCAATGAACTTCATCTTCAAACTAGTGTTCTTCTTCACAATGTAGTTGTTGTCTGAACCTGGGCTTTCATCCAACAGTGTCTACATACCCTAACACGTTTCATCTCCTTAAAATGAATGTTATGTATAATAAAAAATCCACCTCATCCATTAAAATAATTATAGAATATCCACTTAAGCCATTTAAAGTCCAGCAGTGCAATTTCTAACGTTTTCCCAACCCAAACTAACAGAAATGACTACTATACGTAACAGAGTATAAGTTAGTGGACTATAATGTAACGTTTTTTTCTTAAGGGATCAAAGTGAAACAAACACTAGAGTTAAGGGACTAAAAGAGGTATTAAGCCTATAATTTACATATTTGTGATATTGAACAAATAATTTACCTATTGCTTTCAGAAAGGATAAAAAAAGTATTTTTCTTCATATATAGATATTTAATTTTTAAATTTGTCTCTTCTAAACACTTTTTTTTTCATAATATCATAATTCTATTGTAGTTGTCGGCTTAGTGAGAATTTCATCATCTCTTTTAACATGCATTAGAAATTTAATTTTGATTATGGATAAAGAAATGAAAACACTTGAAAAATGGATGTTTTTTGTCTCGACACATAAATTTTTTGGTGTGTCTAAAACTTTAAATAATTTTTCTAAAGTGTTTTGAATTACTCTATCAATTTTCACAACAAATGGTGTCCAATGTGGTGCAAATGGATATTGTTTACAAGTTAGCACCATGGGTAAATAGGAGATTGGAAAAAAAATTAGGGACAACGATCTTGAGTTTTGAAAAGTGAATATGCAAGTAATTTTAACTTAAGATAAGTGTATTAGAGCATTGAAGGATAGGGCGTCGATGTCTGAACCCCTAACACGGGCAGAGAAGATAAAGATGGTGGGTACGAATAAAAGTGCTGTTATCTTATGCCTCATGGATAAAGTTCAGAGGGAAGTCGACAGAGAGATGATTGTGGCTTTGATGTGGGGAAAACTTCTTAATGATAAGAGTATTGAATGTATTTTTTGTTTAAATATTTAATAATAGAAATTTTAATGACATACGTGGAGAGATATTTTCACAATTGTGAAGATGTCTATGAGAGTATAATGCAAAAGAACTCTAGTTGACGTCGTGAATGTTTCGAACTTATTTGTAATTGTTTATTGTTAAGAATTATCTGTCATGAAATAATATATAAAGAGTGATAATTGGTGTATGTGTGGTAATATGGAATAAATGAAATAGAATTGATAAAAATTGTTGCATTTGGATTTATGTAGTAAATAATAGAAAGTTAACTTGAAAAATATGTTGTATTCTTATTGTTTTTTATTACACATGACATACATTTATATATAAGTTGATGATTTATCTTTTAGAGTTTGAAAATAGGATCAACCCTAACAAACTAATAACAAACCTAACAAACTAATAATAAACCTAACAAACTAATAGCAAACTGTGAAATTTATCTCAAATACTCTCCCTTAAGTTGGAGCGTGAGGATCACGAACATCCAACTTGAACATGAGGTCTTGAAAAACTTTAAAGCCTAAGGACTTAGTAAAAATATCTGCATTTTTTGTTTTGTTGTGCTTATGGCACCTGATTGCATATGTTTCCAGATAAAATTACAATCAATTTCGATATGCTTTGTTCTTTTATGGAAGACAGGGTTTGCAGCTAAATGAAGAGATGTTTGATTGTCATAATACATAAGTGTAGGTTTGATGCATGGAACTTGTAGAGTCCCTAACAAATTACATAACCATCGTATTTCACTTATGGATTAACCTCAACAGTGTTCAAGGTGGAGGGAATCTCAGTTATTTCAGCGACCATCCAATGATATCATTGGCATTATCCGGTTTAATTAATTGAAAACTAAAAGTTGAGAAATACAAGAAAGGGCGTTTGAATTGGGTTTCACAATTTCGTCCCCTTTTGCGGAATTAAACTTGTGACGTTAACAAGTAAATAAAAATAAATGAACATAATTATTTTTATCCTGGTTCACTGTTAACTAAGCTACTTCAGTCCACCCACTAAGGTGATTTTGCCTTATCACAAGGACTTAATTCAATAATCATCAAAATGATTACAACCTCTAAGTTATTAAACAACACACTTAACCCTCTCAAGCATCCTGGATTTCACTTAGCCGCTCAAGGAAATCATCAATGATTGCAACCACGATGGATACCTTCCCTTGCTTTCTTGAGAATGCAGGCTCTCACTAGCTTCTCAGGGAATCAATCCCCAACCCGTTAGAAAATGATATGGCCCTCTCAAGCAACCTGGCTAATAACTTAGCCGCTCAAGGAACAACACCTTTTACAAGGATTTTCTTGTGCACTAATATGCTTACTACAAGCTGATTACACAAATGAAGTACATGAACACCTAAGTGTTTCTAGCAAGTTCTTGAGCAGCAGTTCCTTGCTTTCTAATACAAAACTATCTAATGATAAATCTCTAAGATATTATAAAGCACACTAGTCTTGTATTGCTTAAAATCTTTCTTATTGAGCATCACGACTTCTTTTTATGAGCTTTAAGCTTCTTTTAATGAACTACTTTCTTAAGCATATAATGCTTTTTCCAGTTTAACGATCAAGATCAACTAAGTTACTATGCTTCACTTGACTAGTTTCACATGGTTTTAGCATATTCATCATTGTACACGTGTCAGTAGTTTGCTTCAGCTTCTTCTTCATTGAGCATTCTTCATTTAAGCTTTAGCTTGTAGCATTTTATTCAGCACTTTGGCTTTGCATTACATCGTGTTATCACTAGCAACCGACAACTAGCAACTTGCAACCACCTATTCTTCAAGCTTCTTAATATTCAATTTATAGAGCTTGAGAGAATAGATCCGTTAAGGGGTTCTTTTTGGAAACATATCCCAACGGAAATATCCCAACATTCACATGAAGGAATGGTCAACATCATTGTACAAAAAAAGTTGTCCTTGTACCACCTTATCGAGGTAGAGGTCACAAAGTTTTAGTACTATTATATTTAGCTCAAAACCATTCGTATCTTCAGTCTTTCTAATGCCTTCAATATCTTCAAATAAAAACGTCGATGAAGCATGTTGTAGAAAAGTAAATTCTTTTTAACTTCAGAAACCTAGTCTTTATAATTCCAAGATCTTTGTTCAGCAGAACTATCTTGAGAATCTTCAACACTCGTTCTTTTAGAAGTAATATCTTTAGAATCTTCAGAACCTTGTCGTCAGAGTCTTCAGAATTCATTAATCACATTCTTGTCTTCAGTACTTCGTTAACCTGAACCTTATCTTCAAAAACTCTTCAGAACTTAACCTCCAGATATTGTGTCTTCAGAATCTTCAGAGCCATGTTCACCTGAATCACGTCTTCAAAATCTTCAAAACTTGTAACATTAGAAACACATCACATTAGAAAGCCTTATAGGTTTACTTATAAAGTCTCAATCAGAAACCTTATTAGTAACGCTTCTTAGAATCATTGTATTAGAAGTATTTCTGAATCTTGACTTTATCTTGTACATATCATATGTTTTCTTTCTAGAGTGTTTAGATCAGAGTCTGGTGATGTCACACGCCTTCTTATTAGAGTCAGAATCATATTGATAACAATCACACACTAGACATAAATCATAT